CGCTTCAGGAAGAAGGGAAGATTAGGTCCCTGATTTATTGGACCATTCTAGGTTATTTCCAGGGTTGGTAGGGTTTCTTACAGATTGGATCTTGCAAAGAACTCAGTCAGATTCATAGCACTTTTCATGTTTCGTAGTTTCGGAAGTGTGTGTTGGACGAGGATGCAGTGGTTTCATTGGATGACATTCAGGTTGATGAGCGCCTGAATTATGTTGAGAGGCCAGTGGCGGTTCTACAAAAGAAGGTAAAGAATATGAGGAACAAGGAGATACCTTTAGTAAAGGTACAGTGGCAGCATCGGAAAGGATCTTAGTGAACCTGGGAGCTGGAGGCTGAGATGCGAGAGCATTATCCGTATTTGTTCACCGCAGCAGGCTTCAAGGATGAAGCCTAGTTCAAGTGGGGGGGAGTTGTAACATCACGACTCTCAGGTATGAGATTTATTGCTTAAAAGACAAATTCTTCTTTGGAACTAGTCGAGTTGATGGCCTTAGACCCGGCGAGTTGGAAGCTCTCAACTCGACGAGTTGTTAAGAAAAAGTCGACGAGTTGACGGTTGCTTATGCAACCCTAAATTTTAGGGTTTTGCACCCAATATAAAGAACTTAAAACTCATGGATGACCTCTCTTATCGTCCCCTCAGTCCAGAGAAACCCGAATTTGCGCCTCATCTCTCATTTTGAGTGTGTGTGAGCTTGGAGTGTGATTTTTTGGTGCTCTTTTGGAAGGAACTTGAAGCTTGAAGTGGATTGATTCATAGGAAGGCTTTAGATCCAAGATTTTCTTTGTTGTTGCAATCATTCTGAGGTATAAAGTCGATACCTTGACCATCCCTTTGCTAGATCTCATCATTTGAAAGTTTATGGCCATTATTAACCCATTTTGGGATTTCAGCATGTTATGTAGTTATGACTTCAAATGTGGATTTCTCATGGCCTCCATGGACTTAAAGTCTCCAGCTTTATCAAGTCTTCGACCTCCTTCATGCTCTAAGTCCCTTAATAAGCTTGATTTTAGTGTTTTAGCTTCTTGATGTCATGCATGGACGTAAAGTTAGCAACTTTACGTCGTATTTCAGTTCTAAGGGACCAGATCTATGGTTTGTGGCACTATATCTGCTTAGGAATTGGGTGAGTGCTTTAAGACTAGGAGAAACTCGAAGAGTTGCCCGAAGGACTGGATAAGTTGGCTCGGACTTTTCCCTGTTCCTTTGAGCACTATAGAAACTCAGCAAATTGTTCTAACAACTTTGCTAGTTGGTTCAGGTTTTTCTCGTTTTCTGGAAAACTGAAGGAACCCGACGAGTCGATAGATGCACTCGACGAGTTGGGTCAACATGGATTGTTGATCTTGGCTATTGACCTTGGCCGTTGACTTTGACTTTGGCAATGGTTGACCAAGTTTGACTTGGAGGGCATTTTGGGTATTTAGAGGTTTTAATAGAACGGTCATATGGTGGTTATAGGATGTTGAGTCCGAAGCTGAGATTTTGGAGTTAGCTTTCGCAGGTTCAGCGGTGAGTTCTCCTCACTAAACTAACAGGGTCGAAGGCACCAATGTCGGCCCTTTGGATTGTATCCTGGTTTATTATATGATGTTATATGTAGTGATATGTTAGATCTATGTCCTAGTATATAGGATAATGTTATGATTGATGATCGATTTGGCGTGTGTGATTATCGTATATGCTAGCTAGCATTTGATATTTATGTGATGTTATGTAATGGCAGGTAGGTTGAGGCGGTCCTGCTATGTGCTGAAGGATAACAGGCCCAGGGTGGCCCGGATAGACTGAAGGCCCAGCCGAGCATACTAGTCAACCGAAGGCCTAGAGAATGGTCCAGATAGGTTGAAGGCCCGGCGAGGCGGTCCAATCATACTGAAGGTTCTGTAAGCGATCCATTCAGGCTAAAGGCTCTGTATGCATACTGTTTGTTTATGATATTGTTCTGGTTTGTATGGTGCAGGTATTTTGGGGGAACTTACTAAGTTTTGGGCTTATAGTTTTGGATTATTTTTTAGGTACCTCTGATGATCGTGGAAAGGCAAAGCTTGATCGTACACCTCCTCGTATTTTATGTTATGATTTCTGAGATTACTCTGATGACAAACTATTTTGAAAACAATTTGTAATAAATTGTGGTTTTTGGATGTTTGAAAAAGTTTAAAATTTTTATGAATTTTATGGATGTTACATCGAAAGTATCTGAAACCATAAACATAAACTATAAGTACAAAGTTTACTGAGTTCCCCAAAGTACCACATACCAAACATACAAATATGGGCCCCGCCTTGGGGTATATTTCAACCCAATAATATGATACTTACAAGAAATACCATGGGGGTGGCCCATGGCCCTTGTATGTAAGACCAGGATTTGGCCCTCAGCATTACAAGGAAATACCATGGGGTGGTCCACAACATTTGTATGTAAGACCGAGATCTGGCCCTCGGCATTATAAGTTTAATATTATTGGGTTGAAATATACCCCAGTACGGGGCCTATATTTGTATGTTTGCTATGTGGTACTTTGGGGAACTCACTAAGCTTGCTTACAGTTTATGTTTATGGTTTCAGGTTCTTTCGATTCGAAAGAGAAGGGCCCGGTGTGACATCACCATTTTCTCGGCCAGAAAAGACCGATTTTGTTTATGCTTTATAGAAATCAGAGTACCTCTTTTAATAATAAAAATGTTGCGGAATTTGTTCCCAGTAAAACATGATAAATACGTTATCAAAGCATTTCTGTAGAAAAGTATTTTTATTCATTTTAAAACATTTGGGGTGTCATCGTCAATACTGAAACATAAGCATAAACAGAACTTATATTCATTATCGCTAGTGATTTATATCTCCTTAATCTCTCAGTGTAATGTGACTTCATATCAACACATGTATTATAAATAAACTGAGTGGGTCAGGTTGGGAAACCTGGTGAGTACATAGGGTTTTCAACCCACAATAAAATAATTATTATGTTTAATCATCAAACAGTTAACCCAATTACCCATCCCCATTATCTTCTTTAATCTTAAGGATCTACCCTAAGAATCAGTTATTTCTTGTTCATTCATTCCTAAGGATTATCCTAAGGAATAGGTACGAAGTCCATCGTTGTCAATGACACAGTTGTCAAGCACATCTGCTAGTTCTATCACTTAGGCACAACTGCCATAATTGTGATATTCTATATGAGGCGCAGCTGCCAGTATTGTCCTTCGAGCACAGCTGCTAGGGTTATATCGTTTATTGACAGTATCATTTTCAAGAGTCCACTCGCAATACATGTCAATGGGTTTTTAGAGTACATCGGTGAACACATCGTTCACAACACCTACAGGTTGCGAGCCTGTTAGTGTTCCACTGGACTGTCTAGAATAGTCTGTGGTTGTCATCCATACTTTGCTAGATGACGGGGCCAACATTTGGGAACAAGGCTTCTCACATCGTCCACTTCTCACCCTTACCTCATGGTCTATATCACCTCTCAACTCATCATCCAACTCATATTTCATCTACCCATGTTTTACCCAACATATTATGTAGATATAAATACATTTACAGTTTAAATCATATAAAACTTGTATAAAATCGTTCATGCAGCATAGATAGCAAGTATACAGATAATATGCACACATAGCACGTAGTTTATATAAATACTTCATATCTATGTGTAAGATGAAAGGGACCATGCACTCACTTGAAAAGGTGGTGATTCCGAACTCAGACAACGATTCACTTCTTAAAAATAATTTTCTTCGACGAAACCTAGTATTATTACCACTAGAGTTTAATCTATTATTCACCGAGACTAATTAATAGTCTAGCTATTATTACTATTATATAAGTGTTAAACAATACTTATATAACCCATAATAATAGCCCAAGTACTTATTATAAGTTCCTAATAACGTTACTATAATTAAATAAAAGCTATATTAAAAATAGCGTAGGCGTAGCTCACTTAAAGCGGGTTTTATAGAAAACCGGGCTTTGCTTGGAGCAGCGTTCCCAAGCCGAAAATCTCTTCTTCTCGGAGTCGTCGAGCACTCTGACGCTTCCGTCTTGTGCCAGGGAGGTTCCCTAGGCTTTTCGGGGGGTTTCGGGGCTAGAGAGAGGTTCTAGAGAGAAAGTAAAGAGAAGAAAGAATGTGAAAGGTGTGAAAAAAAAAAATGAATGTGGAGAGGTTCTATTTATAGAGTGAAATATGGCTAAAATTGGTGCCACATGTCCTTCTGGTGGCAAGACTTTGGGAGAAAAAAAGGCCACATCACTCATTTTCGCACAACACACTTCTGAATTCTAAAATCCGTAACTTTCACATACGACCTCCGTCTTCTATATACGGACTTTGTTTCCGTCTGTCTTTTTACCGTTAAGTTCCTATTAATGAGATCTTCAATTCTCATTTAGGTCGCGTAGGCCAAAAACCGCTCGATCCAAAATTCGAGTTTCGGGCTATGCACTGCTAAGCCAAATCTTAGAAAATTCATAACTTCCTCATACGAAGTCAGATTTGGGCGTTCTTTTTTTGTATGTTCTCGGTTTAATGTATACTACAACTTTTTTTTAGATCACTAAGGCCAAAAAGTCCTCTATCGTAAATTCACTAATTACGTCTCCCGGTGTCGTGCCGGTTTTGCTGTAAAACTTCGACGGACCATAACATCTTCGTTATAACTCGGATTTCAGCGTTCTTTATATGTACAGAACCCTTGTAACATATACTAACACTTGGTTAAGATTACTCCTTCTAAATAATATTTCATCAATAACTCATTTTTGATGCTTATTGTCTCTAAATTAACTAGCCCAGATCTACGGGCGCTACACCCGGCGTCATGGCACAGCATCTTCCCTCATCATTTCTACAAATTGAATAATTGTACTCTAATGTTTTGAATATTATGGTTTGGTTTTGGAATTTGAAACATTTGGTGGATGATTTGATTAAGTTTCAATGAAAAATTTTATTACTGTTTTTGGGACGTTACAAAATGCTAAGACTAGATGTTAAATTGAGAAAAACGAGGTGACATTCAGAAAGCTCATGTGGTAAGGTGTTAGGAGTGTTACCACTCCCCATAGTATTAGAGTTTTTAACCAAATCATAATTAGAATTTTTATTTACCAATCAATTGTAAATTCAAATTTAGTTACTTAAAAACATAATGTTTTGAGTAAATTACACGGATCGTCCCTCGTGCAAGTGCCAAAACACATGTTTAGACCTTATTTTTAAAAATTAACTCGGACTATCCCTTGTTAATTTAAAACTTACACGATCCTTCCCTCCGTACATAAAAAAAAACCATCTTTACCCTTATTTATTTATTTTCTATGTATTTGTTATTTATTTATTTATTAGAGTTTTTAACCAAATCGTAATTAGAATTTTTATTTACCAATCAATCGTAAATTCAAATTTAGTTACGTGCAAGTGCCAAAACACATATTTAGACCTTATTTTTAAAAATTAACTCGGACTATCCCTTGTTAATTTAAAACTTACACGATCCTTCCCTCCGTACATAAAAAAAAAAAACATCTTTACCCTTATTTATTTATTTTCCCTTATTTATTTATTTTCTATGTATTTGTTATTTATTTATTTATTTATTATAAAAAATTATTATTATTTTCTTTTTACAAAAGAAATAGGCCTAACACATTTGATAACTCATTCCCCTCCTCCCTTTCTTTTTCTTCGTCGGTACATCTCATATCCATTATCCACCTTCACCATCCACACCGACCGACTACAATAAATCTTCGGTTTCAAACAGAGGTGATCACCGACCAACTTTAGTCTTTATTTCACTCTCCTCTTCTATTGCATATCTTCCGATCTCATACTTGCATCCTCGGGATTCTTCTCACTCATCTCTTTTGCAGAAGAGCACCACCTCAGATATAGGGTTTCGACCCTAGGCGGCGAACAGATGACGATGGTGATGCGGGTGTACAGGAGACGATCTGTGAATGATGGCAATGGTGGAGCTCAGTCTAAAACCCTAGACGGTGGATCGATTGAGAACAACTAACTAGATCGGGTGAACAAAACAGGTGAATAAAACCACCACCACCAGCAACAGTTATGTTGCTTCCTTTCCTCCTCCGCCACCTCTCTTCTTCTCGTCCCATCTCACTCTCATTCTTGATTTCTATAACCATTTAGGTTACATGATTCAAATTTGGGAACCGAAGGTGGAAGATGCAAATTGGGGTAGTCGGAAATGATGGAAGGAGTAGGATTAGAGGAAGGCGGAAGAGAGCAGGTCGAGTGGGTGAGGTAAGGGTAAAGGTGAGGGGTGGTGGGAGTGTAAAACGGAGGTTGTTCCCGACGAATATGGGTTGGAGATGATCGCAGAGAGAGTGCTCGTCAGGGAGATTATACAACTCCATTGGTTCGATCATGTGAGGTGAGATTTTGAGATGAAGATAGAGAAACATGGTAGATGGGGGTAGGGTGTGTAAGGATGAGGGCACTTCATATTTCATATATTATAATTAATAGAAAAAGAAAACAACCAAAAGAAAATAAACAAGAGCAAGATAGTTTTTTTCAAATCTCGCAAAATGTGCAGATTGAGGGATAAATTAATAAGGGATGAGGCGTGCAATTTTAACCAAATAAGAGACGAGTCAAGTTAATTTTTGAAAAATAAAGATTAGACTTTTGAAAAATAAAGATTAGACCAAATAAGAGACGAGTCAAGTTAATTTTTGAAAAATAAAGATTAGACGCTTATTTTGATATTTGTATGAGAACGATTCTTGTTATTACCAATTAAAAACACTAAAAACGAACCCATATTGCATTTACCAAATTGCCCTAAGCTTCGTCACCTGTCTCCTTGGTGGCTATATGCACTACTTCATCCTCTCTGCATTTTTTCTATATCCACCACCGCTACCATCACCGATCAACACCCGTCACATCCCCTTTTTATCTCCATCAACCGCAACTCCTACAACCGGCAGTTAATTATCATTGTTAAGTATATACGGTGACCACACACAAAAAATTGGATTTGATTTTGGTTTTATCAAAGGGTTTCGACCAATGGTGGTTTAGATATTGACGGAGGTCGAGGGGCGCATGTGTGGGAGGATTTGGAGGTTTTCTGCTTCGAATTGTGCGATTTTTTAGTTATCTCTTCAAGCAAGATGGAAGAATCTCCTTTTCTCCCTCTTTTTCACTGTTGGTTTAAATGAGATTGAAAGAGTATCTATTGGGGATAGGAATAGGAAGTCGAAGTTGGAGATGGCAATTGATGGTCACCTGTTTGTAGAAACAGATGCGATGATGAAGAAGTGGATGGGAGGGAGATAAGGGTCATTTGTCAACTGAGAACTTTGGTGACAGTTTGTAACTTGTAAGTGAAAACATCCTCCATCAAACTTTTCTTTTTCTCTCTGCTAGCCGCCCCCCTCCTTCCTCTTCTTCAGCGGAAACCTCTTTTATGTCCATCGGATGGATTTCTAACATTGAACAATATTAAATTACCAGAGAATGTGATCGTTAATCATATGATGAAGTTGAGTGACTATGTTAAGATTGCAAATGGAAGTATTCTTGTGCTACTTATGCTAATTTGGATATCAGTTGCGGCGGATCTGATTGTGTTATTGACACCATTCCCGAAAGCTAAGATGAAATAGTGTTGATGCTTGCACTGAAAACGTGTAGTATCCAGGCTAGTAAGGCACAGATTTTATCAGGCAAAAGTTAAGATTTAATAGAGGAGAAAAACTTTTCCGGCAGAGAAAACGGTGAAGACGATGGAGATGAGAAATAAATAAATAAATAAATGAAATAAAAGGTTGACGCAAAAATGTTGGGGCATCATTTATTTATTGATTTCTTTAATAAAAGAGAAATTAATATGCATCCGTTTACAAATATTCATATCCATTAAAAAATTATGATAGTGTCATCTTTCCATCATTCAATTTGATTTTATTTGTAATATACTCTTAATAAGATAGTAAAAAATATGACATTTATCATAGTTTAAGTAGAAATATTTTTAAAAATAAAAGATAGAAAACAATTTAATTTCGCTAACACAAACCTTTTTTTATATAATTTTATTATTATTTGGTAAATATTTCTCAGATTACTATTACTTGGTAAATATTTTTTCTAGTAAATCGACAGGTCTTACTATAGGGCAGATTGTCATTTGACAAATTAGAGTAAAAAAATTATATCATCTTTCAAAGTAAATCGGCGTTTAAATCGCATCCGGTATTAGAGAAATGCCAGCACATCGCCAAAGCCTTTCGGTATGTCCCTAACAACTTCAGCACAATTATGTCTTTTCATTTTGGATGACTTCTATTTTATTGGGTTCTATGTTTATAATTTTTATTGAGTTAATTGTTTCGTTAATTTTGCGCAACTCGTTAAAAAGTTCAAACGTAAAACATTTATATAAACAATAATAGCTCCCCAACCTAAGAAAAGTTATATTCATATTAACATGTGTACAAATTTTATTTCATTTTAGTTTAATAACTAAAACCTAGACATCTCAAAGTATTTTACTGCCTCAATTAAAGCTTAATTGAAATGTTTAATGACCATTTCACATATGAAAAGTATCATTTAGCCGACAACCGATGCAAAATGATCGAAAATTTATTTTTTCGCATATGAATTTTGCCATTTCGCATTCGGCATCCACACCCTATGCTAAAAGTTTATAATTTTATAGCAAAAACAGAGACCAAATATTTGAGATAAAGAAACAAGAAAAAAGTCTCAAATCTAGTAAACAAGAAATAAAAAAAACACTTAAATGTCATCTTAAACTTGTGAAATCATAAGAAAATACATTCAACTTTAACATTTTTTTAATAACAAAATACCAACTCAAGCAGCTACAGCTTCAGTCATTTCCTGTTCAACAATTGCAGGTTCAACCGGATAGTAAGAGTAGTGAAGCTCCCCAACATCATCACCCGATAGCTTTGTCCATCCAGTCGGCCCCACATGATACACTACCAACAATAACACCAATTTTTTCAAATCATCCATATAAATATATAAAAATATAAAACCCAAATGAAATAAGAAGAAAAAATCTAGAGAGAGAGAGAGTACCGCTGGCAACACCACCACTAGCTCCATCACGGAACGTAGCATGATAAATGGATCTTCTCGCCAGCTCAGCAGCTTCCTCAATTGACATATCATATCGATACCTAAATTTCACAAAAGGAATACAATTAGGTAATGGAATTTATTAATTAATTTTTATATTTTTCTTTCAGGGGGGGGGGGGGGGGGGGTACTCACCCGCTATCAAGTACACCGTAAGCATACGGTGAACCAGACCCAACGGAGAATTTTGTTCCCTTGAGGCGTCCGCCTTCGCTGTCGACATAATACAGACCAGGGCCCTACAAAAATAAAGTAACGTACATGTAAAATGACTATTTTGCCCCTCGTTTTTAATATATATATATAGAGAGAGAGAGACCTTTTCATCCCATCCTGCAATCATTGTCCCAACAGACAAACCCATGCCACGGTAAGAATAGAGAATGTTGGCGAGCATCTTTGAAGCGCCTGTCACTGAAATCCTTCTCTTGTTTGCCAATTCATGCAGACGACACTGAAGTTTAAATAAATAAATAAATAAATTAATATTGCTTAGAATAATTCAAATGGATAAATAAAAAAGGTGATTTTGATATAAAGAAATGAAAGTAGGATATGCCTTAATGCCTAAATTTCTGTGCCAAAACTGACAATCTGCAGCTCCTCCAGCCATTGTACCCAGCATATACGGATTAATTTCAATGATTTTTTTCACAGATTGAGATGCTGAAAAAAAACAAAATTAAAAGAGCATATTAGACTAGTAAATGCTCTTTCAAATCACGAGTCATAATTAATCATTGATCAAGTAAAGATAAAATTTTAAATGAATAAAAACAGCATGATATCTCGAAGAAGAAGAAGAAGTGCATACATATATAGCCTCCCATGCTAGCTCGGGAATCTGCAGCAACCATCACACCCTCCTTGAAAATAAAAGCCAAAGTGGTTGTTCCCTTTGCTGGTTTTACCATTTGGATAGAATTCTTCTGAAATCCATCAAACTGAAACAAAGGATTTGATGTTGTGTTTTTAGCAATAAATACATTCACTTAATATCTAGCAGAAAGGTTAAAAAAGAAAAAGGCAAGAATTGTGAAGAAACTCACGTCTGATGTAACTGGAAGGTCAAATGAAGGGGCATCTGAAAACCCATCAGAAAGCAAGTCGTCACTTCCTCCATAGAGTGGTGCACTTGATTCTAGTCCACTAAAGTCGAGCTTCATGATTTCCACCTAAACACATCAAAATTCATCAGTAAGGTTTCTAGTTCACAATCTCTATACACAAATTTCATGCTCTCCTCAACTGTATGGATAAAGTGCTGAATTGATAAATGAAATCTGTAGAGACTAAGGTGTTGTTTCTCTTTGATTTAATAGGCTAATGGATGAAAGACTTCTGGGGTACATATATCTAAGGTCGTTTTCTTTTAGACTTCTGGAAGCTACATGATTTGCAGTATAACTAAACCCCCTCCCCTTTATCTTTTTTCGCTGCACAACATCTAAACAAACCTAAGGAAAATACGTTTCCTATTGTGTAGAAGATGGACTGATCTGCGTACATCTTCCTCAACATCTTCTCCCGCTGCTCCAGATTCCTTCGATTTTTCTAATGGGTTAACGAATCCGTCACTCAAGCCCGACCAATTGCGTTGCTAAATCGATGATATCAGTTTTGAAGGAGTGGTTTTTTTTAACAACAAAATGTACAACTCGTAACAAACCCTAGATTATGAAGACCTGATTCTGAGCGAGATCAAAGAAAATGCATACAGCAATCTGTCTGGCTAAATTGAAGAGTAAATAGAGTCGAAGAACTAAGTCGAGATCATACCTTTAAATCGGAAAGAAAAGACCAGATTGTTAATACGTTGATTCAGCAGAGAGAAAACTCAAATCAGAGTATTTGAAGGAGTGATTTCTTGAACAACACTATAACTTAAAATCCGACTCTCGATGGGTTCGGAGTTCTGACCCGGTTCATGTGGATCCAATAAGTCCAGCCCATTAAGATGAGTTCGTCATTTTCGCTGCTCCAGTACTAAATTTTAGTTCGGCCCATATTTAAGGCCTAAGAAACATTATAACAACGTTCGAAAAAAATTCATTTTAATTCTAAAAATTATTTTTGAACAGAAAAGTCCTGATTATTTTATTTTGGTTCAAATTAACAAAAAAATTATTTTTTTTCTTTTAACAGGAAATGACATATTATCGTCTAAAATGAAATAATCAAGACTTTTCTGTTCAAAAAAAAGTTATGATTAAAATGAAATTTTTCTAAAAATATTATGATTTTTCTGACAATTTCCCTAACAACATTTTACCGGTAACCAATTATCAATTTATTCTTTTAAAAACTTTTACTTATGTGGATATCAACTAGCATCTAATGTGGACTAACAAATAAGAACTCGACCATCAAAGGATACGACTCAGACATCAAATGATCTAACATGGACTCACAAATAACACATCAATATTCAAAGGAAAGATCGACTCTATGATCAACAGAAGCGGGAACATGATAAGGTTCATAATGATAACCGTACTCATATAACCACAATCAAACTCATCGTTATCCTAATCCAACTACTTCAAATAATCTGCAAGTTTTCAAATCGGTACCTTCAAGAAACAATTTACAAATCAAAATGAAAAATTGCAAAGATGTGCTACAGGAGTAAAATTATGCTTGATTACCTTGTATAAAGTGAACCTAAGGTATATATAGTCTTTAATTGTGATCAATTTGTGTAATTTTGTCGTGTTTTGATGGATTGTGTTGGATTACCAACCATCCTTACGTTCATAGGGTTTGGTTGAAGCATACATATATATATTTACTTCAATTATACATAGATATAGTTTTTATATATATATACATATAGTTGTTATTAAAAAGGTTTTTTTTTATTCTTTTAACATAATGACATCTTCTTCATCAACAACATTGTTTCCTTTGAGATAAACTACAAAGGTTTGTTCGTGTTTGGGCCATTTAGTTATTATGAAGGTGGGGAGACATTAACCCTTGAGAATATTAATTTCACCAGCATGGAATACACATAGTTTTTTGATCTTATGAAGAAGGGAACAATAATGATGTGCTCATGTGTATATTATGTTGTTCCTGGAAAAGAATTACATAACGGGTTTAAAAATACTCAAATATGATGTTGATTTTAAACATTTTGTTGCTTATGGGTGTGTGTGTGTGTATACATATATATATATATATATATATATATATATATATATATATGTGTGTGTGTGTGTGTGTGTGTGTCACCATGATGAAGATCTTGTTGGATTAGTGTTTGAGTCTGTAACTATATTTGGTATGTACTTGACCCGGTTGTGCATGGTCTTTTTGGGTTGCCTTCACTGAAGCAACTTGACAAGGTAATTTGAGGATATAGAGAGGATATTATGGTTTATTAATATATTATAAGAATAATATATTAAAGGAGAAATCATATTTATTTAACTAGTATTGGTCATATATTAATTAGGAATTAATTTGGTGACTAAAAGAGATTAATTAAATAAAGGGGCATAAACTGTCAAATGTGTGATAGTTGAGTTTTGGGCTGGGAAACCTAATGTACTAAGGGGGAACGAAATTATGATGAAAGATCATCATATTTTCATCCAAGGGCCTTATTCCAGAAGGCTCCTTGGGTTGCTTGGTGGCTAAGTTATCCATTTGGGTTTAGATTGAAACCCTAGCAGCTTGCACTATAAATAAGACCCCAAGGCTTCAATTTTCACACTTGCTTCCAAGAGAAACCCTAAGGCCGAAAATTAGCATCTTCCCTCC